TATGTATAAAAAATCAAGCATTCTTCCAGGCCACCTGGGACTACAGGGAGACTCTGTCTCAAAAAGACCAAAAAAAAAAAAAAAAAAAATCACAGAAGTTCTATCTCAGCCTCCCAAGTGCTAGCATTACAGGCATGGGTTATCACACTCAGCTTTAATTTTTAACATTAAAATAAAAAACAAAACTACACATATGGGGGCTGGAGAGATGACTCAGTGGTTAAGAGCACTGGTTGCTCTTACAGAGGACCTGGGTTTGGTTCCCAGCACCTTTTTGGTAGCTAACAACTTTCCCTAATTCAGTTCCAGGGGATCCAACACCCTCTTCTGACCTCTGTTGGCATTGCATACCTGGATGTACTTATATACATGCAGGCAAAACTCTTATACACATTAAAAACAAAAACAAAAACAAAAACACTAAAGCCGGTGTGGTAGTATATGCCTTTAAACCCAGCACTTGGGATTGGGAGGCAGAGGCCAAGCCTCTGTTCAAGGCCAGCCTGGACTATATAGTGAGTTCCAGGACAGCTGGGGCTACAGGGAGACCCTGTCTCAAAAAGACCAAAAAAAAAAAAAAACCAAACCCAGAACTAAACCAAACCAAACCAAAAGATGCCCACAAAACCTGGCACTGAAACCTACAGCTGACATTTAACTTTAGCCAAAAGCCAGCAACACTAGAATTCCTAGGAGCCAAGCCTGTTTCCTTGAGTCTTTCTTGGATTCTTCCAGTGACCAGGAATGTTGACTTATGCCACCATGGAAATGCTGCATCTTAAAAAAGTATTTCTAGGTGTACATCTTCAAAATTGCCATAGAATTAATTCATAAATCTAAGCAGTGTCCTGAAAGTGGGCTGCAATAGCATTATTAGGCAACTTTTCCAAACAGTCATCACTGCTTTTCTCTGGACGTTCATAATAAGAATGGGTGAGAGGAACAGGAGTCTGTCCAGGAGAGCAAGCACATACAGCCATCCCTTGGTATCCCCAAGGCACAGGGTTCAGGACCCTCCACAGATAGCAAAATTGGGGATGCTCAAGTTCCATATATAAAATGAACTAGGGACTGGGGAGATGGCTCAGTTGGTAAAATGCTTGCCAAGCAAGCATAAGGACTTTACTCTGATCCCCAGACACTACATGTAAAAAGCTGGTTGAACAGGGGTTGCAGAGATCACTCAGCAGTTAAGAGCACCTGCTGTTTTTACAGATGACTTGGGTTCATTTCCCAGCACCCCCATGGTGGTTCAAAACCATCTGTAACTCTAGTTCCAGGGGATCTGACACCTCCTTCTGACCTTCGTGGGCACCAGGTATGCATGTGGTACATATACATAAATGCGGACCAAATACTCCTCGTACATGTAAAATAAAACGAATATATTGTAAAACAAAAAACCTGGGCTCAGTGGTATGTGCCTATAATCACTATACTAGGGAGGCAGACACAGGAGGCCCTCTAGGGCTTGCTGGCCAGCCAGTCTAGCAAAACCAGCAATCTCTATGTTCAGTGAGAGTCTATCTCAAAGAATAAGGTAGAGAGCAACAGAAGATAAGCAATGTGGACCACTTGCATACACACACTCTTCCACAAAACAAACAAAATGGAACAGTACTTACATATACCCGTGCACATCCTTCCTACGTACTTTATATCAACTTCAGATTGCCTCTAATTACAAATGCAATGTGAATGTTCTCTGTCAGCTGTTAGACTGGTATTTAGAGAACACTAAAAAAAAAAAAAAATCCTATATATGTTTGGGGTTGGTGAGATGGCTCAACGATTAAGAGCACTGGCTGATCTTCCAGAGGACCTGGGTTCGGTTCCCAGCACCGACACTGTTCCAATTCTAGAGGAACCAATACCCACTTCTGCCTCCTCCGGCACCACATGACACAGGTGCACTTATATGCACAAAGGCAAAACACGCACACATAAAATAAAAATAAATAAATAACCAGCACTCAGGAGGCAGAGGTCATGAGGATCTCTGTGAGTTCAAGAGCCTGGTCTATAAATTGAGTTCCAAGCCAGCTGGGACTACAGGGAGACCCTGCTAGGATTAAAAGGGTGTGCCACCACACCCAGCCACCTTGACTTTACTGTTAATATGAAATACCGCTCTGGGCACACACATTTAATCCCAGCACTTGGGAAGCAGAGGCAGGAGAATCTCTGTGAGTTTGAGGACAGCCTGGTCTACATAGTGAGTTCCAGGCAAGCTGGGGCTACAGGGAGACTGTCTCATCTCAAAAAGGTTAAAAAAAAAAAAAGAATTGGCAGAAGCCAGGTGTGAAAGTGCACGCCTGTGGCCCCAGTACTTAGGAGGCTGAGGTAGGAAGGCCATGAGTTAAAGGCTAACCTACTCTATGTTGTAAGAACCCATGGTTTCAATAAAACTAATCAACCACCATGAAACACACACACACACACACACACACACACACACACACACACACGTGAAAGAAAATTGGCAAATGGAATTAGAAGTGGAATAAACTGAGGTAGGTGCAGTTTGTGTTTATGAAACTAACTGGGGGTCAGCCACCTATTCTCTTCCAGGATCCTTATGGACCCACAGATCTGGGAGTTTTCTTGATTAATGAAGCCCTCAGCTCTCAACAGTGAAACTTCCTTATTAAACAGCAGATGGTGATTAACACAGAGAACCACAAGTGCCTAATGCACAGGGAACAACAGGTTGCAGAGTGCTTATCACTAAATAGGACAGCTATTTCAAACTACTGCCTCCCAAGGCTTAGGGATCATGGTGGAAGAGGATGTAGAAGGACTGTAAGAGACAGAGCAGGTGGATGACCATAAGGAAACAGTGTATCAGACAGCTGGTCAGTCACTCATATGATCTCACAGCAATGGTGACAGCATGCACAAGTCCCATGTAAGCTCAAGTCAGACAGAATCCCAGCACAGAGATGAGGAATTGGTTAAGAGATACCAACCTTAACTGAGCACTATTGGTAACCAATGACTATTGGAAAAGGGAAATTCAGTCTGGTTTAAGGGTGAGGCTCTTAGTAGGTTGACCAGGCTCCAGTGGGTGAACCCACACTGAAGGACATTTGAGGAAACAAACTTGACTACACAGGCATATGTGTGTGTGTGTGTGTGTGTGTGTGTGTGTGTGTTTTATATATTATAAAATTATAATTACATATATATATTAGAGTACAGAAATGTGATGGGGGTTAGAAAGAGGAATGCAGATACAAGAGGGGATTTAAATACAATCAAAATATATTGTATAAAATTCACAAAAATTCAACTAAAGAATTAATTTAAGGTTGGGGTCATGGCATATGCCTTTAATCCAAGCACTCGGGAGGCAAAGGCGGGTGGATCTCTGTGGGATCAAGGTCAGCCTGGTCTACAAAGAGTTTCAGGCCAGCTGTGGCTACAGGGAGTTCCTGTCTCAAAAAGATTTTTTAAATTAAGTTAATAAAAAAAAAATCCTAAAAACAAACAAACAAACAAAACTAACTGGGGGCTAAGGAGCAGCTCAGTGGTAGAGCCCTTGTGGGTGCAAGACCCCATTTTCCACCCTCAGCACTGAACGTGATTCAGAAGCCACAAATGAGGAAGGGCTGTGCACATCCTCCCACAATACCTGTGAGAACTTCAGCACCTCTACACCAGCGTTCTCCAGCTCCTCAGTGCAGTTGGAACTGATCAGTGAGTCAAAATTTCTAAGTACCTGTGTTTAAACAGAGATGGTGGTAGGAAAGAAAAGCTGATTAAAGACATGGTACGAAGTTTAAGAGCAGTTCAGTCCTGTAACTGTTTTGTCCTTCTCTCATCGCCTTCATTCAGGCTCACACTGGGAGTTTGGCAGAGCCTCTACTTCCTACATCACCCCCACTGTCTGCATTACAGGTGATTTCATCAATGCCTATTTTAGCTTTTTGAAAAACGGATAGTCAGGGGCTGGAGAGATGGCTCAGTGGTTGAGAACACTGGCTGTTCTTGCAGAAGACCCGGGTTCGAATCCCAGCACCCACATGGCAGCTAACAACTGTCCATAACTCCAGTTCCAGGTAATTTGACAGCCTCTTTTGTCCTCCACGGGCATTGCACGACACGGGTGCACTTACCTACATGCAGGTAATACACTCATTCACATAAAATAAAAATAACAAAATAAAATATTTTAAAAAATCAATTCAAAATCAAGTGCATCTGAATCTGAGTTTCTGGCAATGTCGGTCTATGTTGTATCCAGCAACTTCACTGTACCTTGCCTCTGAGCACACATGCCCTTACGACATCCAATGTCAACTGACAGCCGAAACACTTTAGGCCATGCGATGAACTGCAGTGTTTTCACTGCATCTGTAGTTTGCTGCTCTTACGGGAACGTTATGGTTTAAGTACAAAAATCAAAGACTTAATATTCCTAACATTATCTCAGCAAGTAAGGATTAAATTACTTTATCTTTGGATTGCACTGTTAGAAGACTTGATTTTAAAAATGTTTCTGAGGGGCTGGAGAGATGGCTCAGTAGTTAAGAGCACTGTCTGCTCCTGCAGAAGACCAGGGTTTGAATTCTAGCACCTACATGGCAATTAACAACTGTCAATAACTCCAGTCCCAGGGGATCCAACGTCCTCTTCTGTCCTCCACGAGCACTGTATGACACAGGTGCACTTATATACATGCAGGTATAATACTCATACACATAAAATTTTAGAAAGAAAAGAAATTGTTGAGTTGCTGGGACTTGAGTTTCATAAAAAGTTGTTTAATGAATCAACCTAGTTCTATCATCAAATGAACAGATAATGAAAATCTGGTAATCTGGTGTGTGTATATACATATATATATATAATGAAATATTATTCAGGTTTAAAGAAAAATAAGCTGGGTATGGTGGTGCATGCCTTTAATCCCAGCACTTGGGAGGCAGAGGCAGGCAGATCTTTGTGAGTTTATGGCCAGCCTGGTCTACATAGTGAGTTCAGGTCAGCTGAGACTACAGGGAGACCCTATCAAAAAAGACAAAAAAAAAAAAAAGGAAAGAAAATCACAAAATTTTCAGGAAAATGGCTGGACCTAGAATGTATAAACAACACCACCCAATCTCAGAAAGTAAAAATTCTGAATGTTCTCTCTCATATGTGTATTTTAGTCCATTTTATATGTGTGTGTGTGTGTGTGTGTGTGTGTGTGTGTGTGTGTAAACAAATGTCTGTGTGGGTATACTATAATATTT